TCTAACTCTGCCTGTTCCTCAAGATCTAACACACTATCAGAGGATGAGGTGTCGGTATGCTCTGTATCTTCTTCATCCCCCGAGGACGTCTCCTCAGAGGCGGAGTCATTAATTCTTAAATTCTGAAACTCAGTTAACACAGGATATAGTTTTCTCTTAGGCTCTTCCTGTTTTTTATGTTCCTTTTTTGTAGCTACTTCTTTCTTAATTTCCTCTTTTTTCTTTTCCTTTTTCTTTATTTTATTTTTAGCGCTCTTATCCTTTTCTGCTTCTGATAGGCTATCCTGGTGTTCTGCTAAAGCTCTTTGTCCCTCTCTTACCTTGTCTTGGCATTTTGTATCCTCTATACACGGAGGGCAAGTACACTCCTTTCCTTGTGTATGGTAGTTAAAACAGAAGCAGAGCACAAGAACTACCACAGCCTAAACAGGGATAGCAATAGCAAAATCGACAGGATCCACCATACCTTGCAAAAAAGCGTCTAGACTTCTCGCACCGTCAGTTCTGAACCCTCTGTTGAGCCAACAGGATCCCTCGAAACTGGATAAAACACCGAGACGTTCGGCTTCGTTCCCGGGTTTCGGCACCAGTTGCGGCGCGCAGCCTCGCTGATAAGTAGAACGCCACACTCAGGATTCTTCTGACAGCAATTTATTGTACAGCTCTTTTAGATGGCAGTGAGGCGAGGGACCCCCAAGCCCCAAAAACCTGTGGCTTATATAGAGCCCTAGGAGACGTGCCACACACTCATTGGCTCTTATGATATCGCCAAATTAGCATACTGGTTTTCGCACCTTTCGCAGGCGCACATTCAAGCAAGGCTCTCAAGAAGAACCAGGAAGCAGGAAACCGGCGCCATGTTGCAATGGCGAATGCGGCTCCTAACACAAAGCTAAGGATTTGCTTGAGCCTCAGAGAAGATTTTGTGTGGGATGGTAAACCATGACAGGAAGCTTGGTCAGGTAGAGCGGGTCTGAGACCCAGAGACTCAGTGGGCACACACCTGAGACTTAGGTGACTCCCTGCTCTCTGTCAGATTCCTGGCCTGGAACACATGTCACACATCCACATAAGGAATTGTGGCCTGTGGTCATATAGGCACAGAACAGAGTTCTCCATGCTAGTGAGGTACCTAGTGGCCCTGAGGGCTTAGCCAATCAGCTTCCCTTCCCAGACATTCCTCCCTGCAATAGGTATTTCAATAGGCTGATGTGTTGAAGGTTTGGTTCCCAGAGGTGGAGCCTGTTGGACTTGGAAGTTTGAACAATAGCAGAACATCTAAGGTGTTAGGGAGTCTTTAGTGTGACTGACATTTTGTGCTGTAAAATGGATATGCTTTTTGGGAAACAGGGCAGAATACCACAGTCTGAATTTCAAATGTCACACTATCCTGATGATTAAATGCATGGTGAAAGCCAGGCATTTGGAAGTGGTGGAACGTTAAGCAATGGTGACCTGTGGGAAGCCTTAGGCCACTGTGCATTCATCTCTTAAAGTAATCAGGGAGTCTGGCCCCTCCTCATCCTCTCCTGCATCCTGGGTGTAAGATGAGTGATTTTATCTCATTTTGTACCCTTACTACAACCCCCAAAGCTGTGGAGCCAAGCAATCATGGACCAGATTCTCCAAAATTATGATCCTGAGTAACCCTTTTCTGTTTATAAGCTGAACATTCCAAGAATTCGTTATAGTAATAGGAAGCTGTTCACACTTTGGTTTGTGAAATCTAAGTAGATTTGTGTGTGTGTGTGTGTGTGGTGTGTGTGTGTGTGTGTGTGTGTGTGTGAATTCCTAGTTTATTCCATGTTCTTAGCACCATGGTTTTCTCTCTGAGCTCCATCTTCCAAGCTCTTAAAGTAGATGCTGAAGGTAGAATCCATATTTAACAAGTTTCAAAGTGGCCAAAACCTGCTACTGTCTAGGGCTGTGGCGGTTTGAGTGATAGTGACCCCCATAGAGCCATTCTTGTTCCCCAGGTGGTGGGACTGTTTGGGGAGGATCAGGAGGTGTGGCAGTTTGAATGAGAAGGTCTATAGGGAGTGGCACTATTGGGATGTGTGGCCTTGTTGGAGCAAGTGTATCACTGGGTGTGACTATGAGGTTTCAAAAGCTCAAGCCATGCCCAATGTCACTCTCTCTTCCTGCTACCTGCTGATCTGGGTGTAGAGCTCTCAGCTCCTTCTCCAGCACCATGCCTGCCTGGATGCCCCCATGCTTCCTGCCATGATGATAATGGACTAAACCTCTGAACTGTAAGCCAGCCCCAGTTAAATGTTTTCCTCTATAAGAGTTGTCATGGTCATGGTGTCTCTTCACAGCAGTAAAACCATAACTAGGACAAGGGATGTTGTCTTGTTAAAGGAAGTGTGTCACTAGGGGTGGGATTTGACATTTCAAAAGCCCATGCCATTTTCAATTCTCTCCCTCTCTCTCTCTCTCTCTCTCTCTCTCTCTCTCTCTCTCTCTCTCTCTCTGCCTTGTGATTGCTTTCTCAACATATAAGATCTTAGTGACTGTTCCAGCACCATGCCGTCTGCCTGCTGCCATGCCCCGCACCATAACGTATATGGGGTTTAATCCTCCAGAACGATGAGCCCAATATTAAATGTTGCCTTGGTTACAGTGCAGTACAACTCTCCTCAACTGAATAGCTTGAGCAAAATCAGCAAGTGAAGCCAAAGGCCTTCCCCTGCTCTGACCAAGGACATGATGGAAGACTAAATAGCTTCTACTGACAATCTACCCACCTGTCTTCTCTGGAGCTCTAGAGTAGCATGAGCCAGATTATAGCAGGCCATTGATAAGAATCCGCCACACCCCCACAAGCCCACAGGGAGTGTCACTATTGAGAGGTGTGGCCTTGTTGGAGCAAGTGTGTCACTGAGTGTGGGCTGTGAGGTCTCAGAAGGTCAAGCCAGGCCCAATGCCATTCCCTCTGTCTGCTGCCTGTTGATCGGGTGTGCTCCTTCTCTTCCACCATGCCCGGATGCCTCATGCTTCCTGCCTTGACGATAATGGACTGAGCCTCTCAACTCCTGCTCACCAGTTCTTATGAAACCCAGTGTTATGGACAATGTATAACAGCAGGTGTATACAGTTAACAGCAGTCGTTTCAAAGGGAGCTGTCCTGGGGCTGGAATGTAGCTCAAGGATAGAGCATTTGCTTTTTGTATACAAGGCTCTGGCCTTGATCCTGAGCACTGAAAGGAGCTGTACTTCCCTTACAACAAACAGAATCAGTTTTCATCAAATCTTCCTCTTTACAGACATGAGATGAAAGTAACCCAGCATATTACAATGTAGAAACACAGCGTCAGACAACATAAACCTTGGGAACCTTTGTCAGTTCAGTGTGCTTATGATGTAATTACCACTCAAAACTGCTGAGAGCCAACTGTAGAAACAATACCCAGCCCCGGGGACTCCAAGGTTGGCCCACACCACTGTCACCACACTCACGTCAAATAGACACTCTCTCCCTAGACTCCCAGGCTGTCAACCCTCTTCTCGTCTTTCCCAGGTACTCTGAACTCAGGGAAGGGGAGCCTCTGATGATGAGTCCTGCAGATTAACACTGTGGGGCTAGGGAGGTAGAACAGTGCTTAAAGTACTTATCACTCAAGTGCAAGGACCAGAATTTGGATTTGCAGACCCTGCGTAAATGCCAGATAGGTGTAGTGGTCCATCTGTAATGGCAGGCACTCTCAGAGAGCAGAGACAGGGATCCCTAAGACACAGTGGCTAGCTAAACAGGAGTGTCAGAGAGCTGGTCAATTCAGACAGTTTGCCTTGGAGAAGAGCAGTCAAGGCAAATTCTCGATGTCAACCTCTGCCCTCCCCAGGCACCTGCACACACGCAAACATGCAGATATATATGCATGCACACAAAGGCATGAGAAAAGATAAAAGTAAAATTGTCAAGCATTTACAATGCTTATGGTGTAACTACTACTCCAAACAAGTGAGAATCAAACCCAGAAATAACAAAGCACAAACCCAAGCTCTAGAGTAGGCCAAGGGCCTGAGAAGACGCTGCCTAGTCTCCAGCTCACCAGGTCTTATGAAACCCAGTGTTATGTACAATGTATATATGCCAAAGAAAATAGAAAAACAATGTTGAAGTAGGTGTCTTTATAATACAGTAAATAGTGACGTTTTCTTGGATCAAATCATGAGATTCAATATTTTATATATGAAGATGGAGGGAACTGTTGATTAGCCTTGCCTCAATGTTGAACAATCATTTATTGTAAGGAGTATCATAATTTTATAGTTAGAATTGATGAAATATGGCTTTAAAAATCATACTTCTCAAAAACTTAGAACCAAAGTATATTATTAAATATACTAGTTGGGTCCGTGTTCACAATAGGAGGATATTCTTTTTTTTAAAAGATTTATTTATTTATTATTTATTTATTTTATGTATATGAGTACACTGTAGCTGTCTTCAGACACATCAGATCCCATTATAGATGGTTGCTGGGAATTGAACTCAGGACCTCTGGAAGAGCAGTCCATGTGTGGGAAGCCATGGTAAGGCCTTACTCTTGGCAAACACTCATCCTTGGATCTTCTATCTACTGTTCTTCTTTCTGCTTACCTTCCATGATTCACTTGTCAGTTCTCAAAACTTCAAACAAGGACTCATAGCAACCCACCCTAGTAACCCTTCCTCCTGACCTTCAGATTTAGCCAACATCCTGCTAGATAGATGTTTTTAGAACCCCTAGTAATGGCAAGGCTTTGTGAGAACAACAGGTATAACCTAGTTAGACCCCATAGCTGCAGCCAGCTTCCTCCATCTGCAAACCCCCCTTTCCCTTCCTGCCCCTCCTCATATCCTGTTTTTAGAGTATATAACTGGTGTGAACAATAAAATCTTTGCCAGCTTGATCCGACTTCTTGACTTGCTGTGCCTCTTTATTTTCTCACACGTCTCAGCCCTCTCCACAGGGTCTGGGGGTCCCACTTGATTATCCAGCAGGACTGGACATCCATGCTCTTAACCACTGAGCCATCTGTCCAGCCCAGGAGCATATTCTTAAAGCTGTTTCTGTTTTGTGTCTCATTTCATTGGAATGAAGAATGGGCTGGCAATTACGTTAATTTCTCAGAGCTGTCTTACAGGAACCATAGAAGTCATGGATTTTATTTTAGAAATACTTTTTACTTGAATCATGGATTTGGAGATACCTTCAATAAAGGCAGTGTGAGGCGTCTCAGGAGACCTGATTCCTCAGGACTGCATGCTCCCTGTCAGCTGGCGAGGACATAGGCGGCAGAGCATCTCAGGAGGGTAGCTTGGAGACCTCGGCTATGGGTTATATAAAAGCCATTCTATTATATTTCTATTGCAGAATGTCTCATTCTTCATTTTAACTACTACAAAATCCATTGTGTGTAACACACACACACACACACACACACACACCTTTCCACCTTCTGCTTTCATTTAGCTTCCTTGATTAGTCTAGAGCTAGAAAGTAAAATTTTCTGGCCCTCACTGTTGATGCTTCTTTCCTGCTTTTGATCCAGAGGTAAGGTGGCTACTTTATACATCACAGGGAATAAAACAGTTGTTAACACTGCCGAGCCCAGACAAGTGTACAGAATTACTGGGAGATCTGGATAGTGTCCTTGAAGAATTCCAGATAGTGCAGGAGTCGCCATTACTCCCAGAGCAGCACCAATCAGAATAAACGCTGCGGACTTCCCAGTTAAGGTGGTGTACTGCTCAATCCAGGAGATGCCGCTGGGAAACGTGGCGGCCATTGAAGCTCCATACACAGACGTCGCGATCCAGAGACAGAGACGGCTCTTGTCAAAAAGCACCAGAAAGAAAGACGCGACCAGGCTGCCAATGTTACACAATACAACCATGGTTCCAGGCTGTAAGAGCGTTGCAAAGAAGATGGCCAGGCCCCTGCAGGCTGCAAAGGTCCCCCAGAAGATGGAGTTCAAGCCAGCTGCCTCGCTCTCTTCCATGCCAACATAGGTGGTGGCGAATGAGAATACAAAAGAGCTGTAGGTCACCTCGGCTCCCACATAGACGAAAAAGAAGAGGAAGAGGAAGCATAGCAGGGCCCAGTGATATTTAGCCCTTCGAGCTCCCTGGGCAGATGCTGAGGACTTTTTCTGCCTTGAGCTTTTCTTAAAGAAAGGAGCAAACAGAAAGACAGAAACTACTAAGACATAGGTGCCAATAGAAGCATATGTCCACAGCAGATTCATGTCATCGGGTACCGCGAACACAGAGTCTGAGGCGGCTTCAAAGGATTGGTTCAAGGCTGAACGGTCAAATTGGGGCTCTGTGTGGTTCTGAGCAGATGCTGTGGTACCCCAGGCCAATTTAGCCAGCAGGGGAGCCAGAAAGGCACCCAAGGCAAAGCTGAAGTGCAAGGCCTGCATGTGTGGGGCTTCTTTGTCCCCCCAAAGATCCAAGATGAGGACGTTCCCACCTACCAACAAAGGAAATGATTTAAGTTAAATATAGTTTAACTTATCTAATACATGACAGATGTTCTAAATGATCAAAGACTGCACCTGATTCAACTCTGTGATGTAAGATCTCTGTACACACTGTCTCATCCTTACACATGAGATCCAACTATCTGATCCACTACCACCTCTTAGAGCCAGGCACATTAGCAAAGGCTTTTTGATAAAATATGCTGACAATCCCCTGGGGAATTTTATTTGATACACTTGTTTATATATAATATATAATTGTCATGGTTTGTATAAGCTTGGCCCAGGGAGTGGCACTATTAGAAGGTGTGGCCCTGTTCTAATAAGTGTGGCCTTGTTGGAGTAGGTGTGTCACTGTGGGTGTGGGCTTTAAGACCCTCATCCTAGCTGCCTGGAAGTCAGTATTTTTCTAGCAGCCTTCAGATGAAGATGTAGAACTCTCAGCTCTTCTGCACCATGCCTGCCTGGATGGTGCTTTGTTCCTGCCTTGATGATACTGGACTGAACCTCTGAACCCATAATCCAGCCCAATTAAATGTTGTCCGTATAAGAGTTGCTTTGTTCATGGTGTCTGTTCACAGCAGGAAAATCTAACTGAGACAATAATATACATATGCATGTGTATGCATACACTTCAGACACATTATCAACCCTTTTTGTACTTGCAATAATAAAAATACTATTTATTTATGTTTAAAACACACGCAAAATACTCATTCAGAATCCTAGCCCTGGTGTGCCTATTACAGGAAATAATATATGTTTTAGACTCTGCCCTTAATTCTATCAGAGGACCTACAAGAAGAGAAGTCTAAAACTTCAAGCCCATAGCTACATCTTTTTTAAAATGATTGATTTTAAAAATTCATTCCACTCTGAATTTGCAACCAAACAAAGCCTAAAGAAAGAAATAGTCCCACATCTGTAAGACAACATTAGACAGAGACAGAAAGGATAGAAGGTTGGAATCTGGAAGTACACCAGTATCACCTATGTCATTTAATAGGTTTTCGGGGGGGCAGATGAGTGTGTGGACGTGCACAGACTTGTGTGCATGTGCAGGTGCCAGAGGTCCCAGAGTCTTATCATCCCCTGCCTTACTGTCATGAGACAATGTCTCTCATTGATCCGAAAGCTTGCCATTTGTCTAGGCTAGACAGCCAGTGAGTTCTTGAATCTTCTTGAGTCACCTCCCCCACCCCTGTAGGCTTTCAAAGACATCATCACATGTACAGAAACTTTACTGTAGAGGGAGGGTTTGAGAAAGCAAAGGACAAAAATAAATAAATGCAAAGAAAGTAGCACAAAGCACTGGCCCTTGGCTTTCCCTCTTCTGATCCTGACAGCAAGAACCCCTAATCTCTCATAGAACAGAATCTTTAAGATCATTTATCGTCGGATAATTAGAATATCTAATTTACATGAAGAACAGTTGCTAGCAGGGTGGTTCTGAGTCGATGGCTCTATGGCCAGGTTCATAGTTCCCTGACATTTCCAGTCCATCACAGGGAACGGTTTAATACCTTCTCCACTCCTCTCAGCAGTAGCATGCTCCAGTCTCAGATATGACTCTGAGTGATTCACTAACCTGTATCCAGAACACCAAAAGAGACACCCGTAACAGACATCATGGCAGTCAGTGAGGCAGCTGTTTTACAGAAAGGAGTGAGGTAAAGACCGGCCATGGTGATCAGGTTGGACAGCCCTGAAAGAACACAGTTGAAAGAAGTCAAGGTCAATACTCATGCAGTCTAGAGACAAGTCCTCCAAATGCAAACAGGATCAAATTAAAAAAGGGTATAACCTTGTGCTGGTCAGAGTTGAACCTTCTACAAGCAGCCATGCCCTTGTATGATCTTTATGGGCTATAAAATGTAAAAGGTTATGAAATGAATATAATTTTATTACTGATAGAAGAGTTCGCCATGGTTTATAACAAAAGAGGTAAAAACTATCTACTTAAATGTTTTACATTTCAGAACCACAAGGAGGCTCAGCAAGATGGCTCAGTGCTGCCAAGTCTGATGACCTCAGTTAGAGCCCAGGAACCTACCTATGGAAGAGAAAGTTGTCCTCTGACCTGCATATGAGGCCTCTGGAACGTGCACAACAATTAATTAAACGAATCTTAACAATTAAAAAAATAGTCCAAATGGAGGGGGCATAGTTAGAGGCCTGGCTCAGGGACTGAACATGAGCCATGCATGTGTGAGGACCAGAGTTCCAATCCCCGGTACCCACCTAAAAGCTGGGTGGTCATGGTGGCCCCTTGTAATCTCAGAGTTTAGAGGCTTCCCAGAGCAAGCTGGCTGGCCAAATTAGTCAAATAAGTGGACTTTGGGCTCAGTGAGTGAGCTTGCTTCATTCAGTAAAGCAGAAAACAGTCAAGGAACACACCTGTGGCCTCCATGTCTACACACACATATCTGAACACACATGAGCCCACACACACATGAATATGAATACACACCACACACACACACACACACTCACACATATGCACACAGGCAAAACAAAACAAAACAAAATCCAAGAACTAAAAGGAATGTTTATATATGGAATAACAAAAAGGCCAAATGGAGGGATTAGTTTAGGAGTTTATAGTAAAACTTTTTTTTTTTTTTTAGTTTTAGTTCTAGTTTTTCAAGACAGGGTTTCTCTGTGTAGCCCTGGCTGTCCTGGAACTCACTCTATAGACCAGGCTAGCCTTGAACTCAGAAATCCGCCTGCCTCTGTGTCTCAAGTGCTGGGATTAAAGGCGGGTGCCACCACTGCCTGGCTATAGTAAAACTTTTAACAAGTTAGTTTGTGGACTTGGGAGGAGAATACAAGGCATAGTTTCCGGGCTGGCATTTAGATCAGTGGTGGAACAACTGTGTAACAGGATTCTCCACAAACCAAACCTTACATGTATATAATCCCTGTATGGATTCTTTCAGTCTACTTTGGATGTAAGAGGAGGTTCACTCATTTATTCAACAGGAACAAGAACCTTTCCCATCCACTTCTAGGGTTGCGGCAGGCATCCTGGGCTCTGCGCTGATGCGAGCAGAGGATAAAAATGCAGCCTGAGGAACCCATCAACCTTCTGCGCCCCCTCGTGTCCAGTCCAGGTTTCAAGAGCAGTAGCGTCTTATCTCTACGGCTCTGGGAATCCTGCTAAGCCTCGGATAAACACAACTCTGGGGACAATGCGCTTATATGTGCATCTGGAATAGAGCCTGAGTTTCGGTGAAGGCTGACAGGACTTGCGATTGCTAACACTCCCTTCACAGGGTTAGTCATTTCCAGGGGGCTCCAAAATGATTGCCTGTCACTGACATGGGACGTTAGACTCTGGCAAAGCAGTTGTGGGAGACAGCAAAACACAGTAATACTTCGATTGTCTATGTCTCCAGGCTACTGCTAAATATGCTAAATCACAGGGTAAATATACTACTGTGTATTTAGAGACAAATTGCAAACTTAGTAACAGAAACAAAGGAACGAAAATCACTGTTAGCTTACCCAAAAGTAGAAAATGATTCATGCAGTCGAAAAGCACCCCACCAACCACAGAGCCACACAAGTAGCCGAGGGCGCGGCCCACGAAGATTTCGGAAAGGCTACTGATGTTACGGTTCACGTTTCTTGCCAGGTCTGGAAATGTGGGTCCCAGCACAGATGCGCTCACTCCCTGAAATTCACAAAGCCAAAAGCTCTTACTTATAAAGCAATATTTATCTAATTAAATTTATAGTTGTAAAAAAAAGTAGTGGGATGCGGTTACATGCCAGAGAGTGACTTAAAGGCCCACGGCAAGGAAGTATACTAAAATTACACAACCATGGAGCTCCTGTTGCTTTTCTTCGGTTCAAGCCTCTCAGTTGTTCAAAAGTTCTTTATTCTGTGGCTTTATTTTGCACTGTTTCTATTTGACAATACCTTAAAAGACTGCTGTGTATTAAAAGCTAACGTGGACCTTGGGATATAACCATGGTAGGCTGCTTGTCTAGCATGCACAAGTCCAAATTCAATGGCTAGCACAACAAATTAATAATTATTTTTATTTTTTCCATTTATTTAGTATGTGTACATGCGTATACCATTGTGTGAAGGGGACAACTTGTGTCAGCCAATTCTCTCTTACCACCATGTGGCTTCTGAGGATCAAGCTCAAGGCCATCAGTAATAATAATAATAATGATAATAATAATGATAATAATTTATAAGATGCACCATTAATCTTATATTTGAAATAAGTTTTTAGTATAGTATTTACAAGTATATCATAAGTACCAATATGATAATTTACATATCAAAATTCTAAACATCAGATTGTTCTAATATTTATATTATTAAAACTGAACTACTTCTGATGCAGATGGGGCTCATACACATACAGAATGCACAGGAGATAAATCACCTGACCTTACTACATCTATACGTTCCTTCAACGAAACCCTCAGCCATCGGAAGCACAGATCATCAACCTTCCTTGCAATGTGTTACACACACCAGGTAGAGCATGACTTTAACAATAAAATGTTAAAGAATGACAATTTATTGTTCAGAGTAAATCTGGTCTGTAGCTACCGCAGTATGTGAGGAACTCTAACCCAACCTGTCAGCACACTAACCTTCCGAGTGTATTTCCCATAACACACGGCCAGTTTCACGGGCTGCACAATGTGTAGGCTGTGATCAAACAAGGCGAAATTTAAGCTGAACCAATCTCAGCTATTTCGGTACATCATTTCTTTTCTCTGTCTAAAAACCTTCCTCTCCCCAACTGTTGGGTAGGATTGTCTACTTCCACCGACTCCAGAAGCTCCCGACTTACGAATCCTCCTTTGCTCAAACAAAACGTTTTTAAAATATTTATTTATTTTACGTATGTGTATGTGTGTATGCCTGAGTGTGTATACATGCACTTACTCAGGGGTCAGAAGAGAGTGTGGGAGATCCTGGAACTGGGGTCACTGGAGCGAGCCAATGTGGGGCCGAGAAGCAAATCCAGGCTCTTGGGAGAGCAGCAGGTGCTCATAACTTCCGACCTCCCTTTCCAACCCCTCAAATAACATTTCACCAAATGTTTGTCATCAGATGTGCAGTGCTAAAGAAACCTCCAGTGATGGCCTTGTCATCAGATGATCATACAAATGGACCAGCCAGAGTCTCTTGTGCCAGTGATCTTACACGGCAGCTGAGGTCACTGCAGGTTGCCTCCTTGATTTGAGCTCTATGGGTTTGTGTCGAGCCCTCTGTGGAGCAGTGATACCTCGTTGGACTGCCCACTAGAGGGCGCTTTTGAAATGGATCCCTCTGGCGAAGGTGGCTGGGAGCCTGATTTCTGGAACACTTGCTTACTGTCACAAAGTTAAGGGCCCAGAACCTGTGTACATATGGGGCTGGGACAGGAATAAGTTAACTTTGTTAAGACATCTTTGAACTACATAGTAGCTGGAAGGGTGGTATTTTCACCTAGATGAACTTGCTCCCTTGCGAGGTACTATGGAAAAGAGTCCAATGCCTTAAAATCAGTGCCTTGCACTCGTTAAAGCAGTGGTTCTCAACCCTCCTAATGTTCCGACCCTTTACTACGTACAGATTCTCATGCTGTGGTGACCCCCGACCATAAAACTATTTTAGTTACTACTTTATAACTGAATTTTTGCTACTGTAAATAGCAAATACTGTGTTTTCCAATGGTCCAAGGAGACCCCTGTGAAAGGCAATTCGGCCCCAAGGGAGTGGGGACCCACAGACTGTTTTAAAGGGTTTACAGCTGTGCATGTGAAAGGCAGCTGTCCGCAGAGCGATCGTGGTGTTTGCCATGGTTACTGTCCTCAGAAGGTGTGGTGCAGGGGTGGTTGGTCACCCTCACAGCACCAGAGCATCCTGGAGATACACGGGTGCCTGCTGTGGCACGGAGGCACAGCAGCCTGAGGAGCTAAGCCAATGAGGCTGGGGCACAGTGCGCACCTCAGCCTGGGAATCTACACACCCACGAGCTGTTCCAGCTCAGCAGGGAGGAAAAATGGCAGGACCAAGTCTTGTCCTTCAGGCAGGGGAGGCGGCGTCCAGGGCACCCTCCACCTGGGTCAGCCCGGAAGGATCCTCCAAGCTCCTGAGGCTGTCAGGGTCGTGGTTCCCCCTCTCTCTAAGTAGAGCAGTGTGGTTTAAACAAATAGTAATACAATACATTTTAAATGAGCTAATGGCCCCCTCCTATAGGATCCTTTGGAAAAGGAAAAAACAAGTCTTAAATATCTTTTCACATATATACTTTTCTATTTGCTTATGACCTTGCTAACTTGTGAGAGACTTCTGTCACTAAATGCTAAAGCAGGTGTGGTGACTATCTATGATCCTAGCACTCCTGAGACTTTGGCTAGGCAAAGAAGGTCAAGCTATGTGAATGAATAACTCTTAAACAAAAAAAAAAGAAAAAAGAAGGAAGAGGCGGAGCCCACGTTCTTTCCTGGCTTATGGGTCCTGGGTAGTGTTTGGTTCATAGGATGCTGTTGATTTGATTTAATTTTCAAAGGTCTACGCATTTAGAAGTTGCAGGATTCACAAATTCTCCAATCCAAATTTTGTTTGTATATTATTTCTATTGACTTCCTTCCTACTGTGCACAAGAGATTAAGGTAAATAAATGTTAAATTATAAGTAATACATGAAGCTTAAATTACTAGAAATAAGAAAAAAGAGAGGCAGGGTTGGAGGGACGGCTCAGCGGTCAAGAGCACTGGTTGCTCTTCCAGAGGTCCTGAATTCAGTTCCCAGCAACCACGTGGTGGCTCACAACCATTTGTAATGGGATCTGATGCCCTCTTCTGGTGTGTCTGAAGAGAGCAACAGTGTACTCATATACATTAAATAAATAAATAAATAAATAAATAAATAAATCTTAAAAAAAAAAGAATCCCAGTGTGTAACTACATGGATGATAAATACACTTTGGGTTTAAGACTGTGTCAGCATTCTGTCTAAGCTCCGCCCACAGTTACCTGGCAACAGCCAGGTAGGGACCCACTATAAAAGGAGCTGCTCGTCCCCTCCTCACTCTTTTGCTCTCCCCTTCTTGCTCCTACTCTGCCCCTCACCCCTTCCCCTCTCTCCCCGTTTCCTTCCCCCCTCTCTCTCCAGGTGCTCATGGCCGGCCTCTACTCCTCTACACTCTCTCTCTCTCTCTCTCTCTCTCTCTCTCTCTCTCTCTCTCTGCCTCTACTATCCTCTTAACTCCCCTCCCCATGCCCTGAATAAACTCTAGTCTGTATTATACCATCCTGTGGCTGGTCCCGCAGAGGGAAGGGCTGCCTTAGCATGGGCCTTTCCCCAATAACTCACCACAGCTTCATAGAACATATCCCTTCTCTCTTTATCTCTTTACAAACACGTCAGACTGCCTATATGATATGGCGATGATTTATTTTATTAAGGAGGTTAAGCTCAGTTCTAAAATGAGAAGAGGAAAGACACAGGACAAAATCGAATAAATGGGACATTACAGAGCTGGGGTGCAGCTCTGTTGGCACAGTGCCTTCCGGGAAGCCCTGGGTTCAGCCGATCTGCACTTCAGGCCTCTATCTGTCGTTTTTAAGTCCTGTATGTAAGAGTCAGCCCTAGCAGCCTTCCCTGGAGTCCTAGCTAATCACGAGCCCAGGGCAGGGAAATGGATTGAGCCCAGGAGTTGTGGTCAGCACGGGTAACATAGCAAGACTCCCCTCATAAAGCTGGCACGCAACACACACAAACAACTTGCCTTGCCAAGTGCACTAATACTGTACGGAACTCTCCTCTGATCATTAACCACGGTCCTCTTAAGTCTTGCCATGTGCAGTTAATTGTTTGGTCTGAAAGGACAACCGTGGAAAGGACTATCAAGTCCCCCTGGCCTGGGTAGGAATTCCCAGACCCAGCGGCTCACAAACATCAAGCTGATGTTTAACCCAGCATCAAGCACAGTAAGAACTAAGTACCAAGGAATGACTTGGCAGATTCGCATGCTAAGTTAGTCAGCGGTGAAATTACTAAGCTATGCAATTTGAAAGAACTCCAAGGATTGGCCCAAGTCCGCTTACCTATCAGAACCTATTAAGTATGGGGTACTAAGGACCTGAACTTCAAAGGATGTAAATCCCGTGCTAAGCGTGGACACATGGAGCGCTTGCCTCCTGGTGCTTGCTCAGTCCTCAAAGCTTCTAGCATTAACAGCTCTGCACTCTAAGATACACGTGGTGGGGGACGGGGAGACCCAAACTGTAACAAACCATTGGTGGATTTGTATTTTCACTGCAAAGGGCTTCTAACCCGTGTTGGCATTCCCATTCCATCCATCATTTTAGTTAAGACAATAAAGCTCCAAATCCTGTGATTTTAGCGGCTGGCTGAGTCAGACCCAGATGGAGCTCTCTCACACTGCACCCGGGGTGCCCATTTTCTAGGCGTTTGGAGGGTGCCCGACGCAGGAAGACTGATGCTGTAACAGTAGCTGCAGTTAAATTAGAAGTTGTGTTTCCCAGCAGAGTTCCTGGCCACAACGCCACTCAAGTTGCTCCTCATGCAGGTTGAATAACAGCTAAGTAAGGAAGCACAGACGCAAAGGCTGTAGGGAGCCCAGCTCCTGAATTGCCCGGATGGACTCAGTCATAAGCACTTCTAAGGGGTGGCAATTGGATCCACTCCCACTGGGGAGCATAGACTGAGCCCTTCTGAACTGTCCCTGCTGCTGTCCCCCTGGTGACAGCATCTGAGTCCTCACAGTCACCTAAACTGCGACGTGATCCAGTAGGCTAAGGTTCCGCACATTAATCTAAAGTATATTTTCACTAGGACCAGCCTACAAGCAGATAGCTTTCCCAAGAACATAGGCTATGATTTCCCTGCCATTTTGAAGGTGTTAGCTACCCCCCCACACACACACGCGCACACACACACGCACACACACACACACACACACGCACGCACGCACGCACGCACGCACGCAAGCACACACGCCTGGGCGTCTATAATCCCTTCCTTCTGCTTGCAGGGAACCACAGGGAAACGCTGTAGTCTTTGGATATGTCGTAAACCAGCGCTATTGCCAAATCCCCTGCACATCCATAGCGAGTTAACTAGAACTGCAGAGTGGAAAGCTCTCCTTGACATTCTGGAGATCATTGCTGCTTGTGATACACTCACTGGAAATGACCTGTCCAATTACTAGCTAATCACGGCCAAATACATGTCAGTAAAAAGGTATTGTGTGCACAAGACCAAGGGATAACTATGGGCAAACCACATTAAGTCTAACTTAATGCTATTAAGTGAGATGCTATACCTCTACAGCAGGATCCAAAGGAAGCTTCCCAGCAGACCTTGATAGGTTTCCTTCGAGGTGAATGAATTTAATTGATATCTGCTTGGCTGCCACTAGGTGGCGATCTTTTCCACCTCAAGGGCCTTAAATTGAAATTGTAGACTTCTGCCTCCTGAATTACTTTTCTGTAAGTTTCTATACCTTCCATAGTCAAAGAAGTCAATACTCAAAATGAGTGCCCACCTTTGATAGACATGTTAGTCTCCATTGAAGAAAGTTTCTAAAAGAGTTTCTACTTATTCCTTTTGCAGCAGTGGGGTGCTAGTTGTATGGAAGGTAAAGCTACCTGTAACTTGGGGGAAATTCTGATCTTGTAACTGGTAAAAACTCCCATGGGTTCTGAAATGTGAAGCCACTCTCTGAAAGGTGAGAACATTTACATACTGACTGGAACAAAATTTCACTTTAGAGCTCCTCCTTGGGGGACTGGAGACATTGCTCAATGACTTAGAACCTCCACAGGGCCCTCAGTTCCATTCCCAGCACCCAGGTGGGGCATCTCATTACTGGCTTCCAGGGCACCTGTATTCACATGCACGTTACTGTACACGTGACTGCTGATCTGTGGTTTCCCACAACACTGACCCTGAATAAGGAAACTTCTCAGGGGAGGAAAACACACTGAGTGTTCTTAGGAGCAGCGATCAGGTAGCCTGCAAGCATCAGGGATGGTGGAGGGCAAGTCCAGCTAGGACAAAGCTTTCAAATACTTGGGGCTAGTGGCTCTCCAGGTTCCTCTAACTTATGTTGTCAGGCTGACTACAAAAATAAATAACTCTTTAAATTAGACAATCTTACAGCCTACTGGTCTTAACTGCCATTATGCCATAGACAAGCCGTTCACAATCTGTGGGTCATAACCTTTCACAGGGGTCACATGTCAGATATCCTGAATCTCACATATTTACGTTACAATTCATAACAGTAGCAAAATTACAGTTATGAAGTAGCATCAAGAATAATTTTATGGTTGGGGTTGAGCTTAACATGTGGAACTGTATTACAGGGTCTCAGCACTGGGAAGGTTGAGAGCCCCTGGTCTAGACAAAGGTCATGGAGACTTGCACGCTAACCCTGTTGATCTCCTTATTATGTGAACACTGGCTTGTTTGATTTAGATCTTCTTGGGTCCCCACAGAAGCCTGTTATAAAAGAGTGTGCTCTGGTTTCTTAGTACTCTCTACTTGATAACCAGCATAGCGTCTCCTGTTCCTGTTGGGGTCGTTTGAGTCACAGATGTCTCCATACACTCATCCTTTGAAGGTATAGAGAATTACCTGACCAACCATAATGTCATCGTCCATTATGAATTCTGTAACTGGACCAAACTGACCGTGGCTATCATCACAGAAAGTGCTGTTGGTGCTTTTTTCAAACTGAGAGGCTGGCCCAAAAGGAAAGTGGGACTGTTAAATCAGCGTACAGCTGCTCCTGTGTGTAGGATGCTGTAATCGATCAGAATGCTCCAACTGAAGCTTTAATAAAAGACATTCTTAGACACGTGCTGACTAGCCAAGCACTGAGTCCATCACAGATGGATACAGCCCGCAATGTCCAAAGCAGGTGAGTAGTTACACGAAACCATCTTATCTCTGTATGCTTTCTGGGCCTATAGACACTGCCTGCCCGTATTTCAGAGTAGTTTTTAGCCTTCGCTAGAACAGGCTTTGGCCAGTTCCCGATTCATTTCTTTGTGCAAAGAAACTGTTAAAATCAACAAGTGTAACCTTTGTTTTTCAATAGGAGTAACAAGACCTAAAAGGTTAACCACTGGCTTTCAGAGGAAGTTCCTTGGGCCCCTTAAGAATTGTTTTCTAATTCATCTGTATTTCAAGAATGCTTGACTCTAATTGCATGGCTGTCTTCTCCAATGCACGGTGAGCCCCTTACCTAGGCAGAAGCCACCTAGGACTTAGGACTAGAGCATTTACAGCAAGCCCTGGCCCACAGAGGGACTGACCCAGAGTCTGCAATGATTTCTCCATCTTCTACCTCTCCCTCATCAAAAACAAACTCTGATTCCCTCCCTGAGATTCTTAGTTACCTGAAATCACCCCACAGGCAACTGACTCTTATCTCTCCAAGGTCGCAGTCATCACGGACAGTAGATTGAAAAGGAGTCTAAGGGGTCAGTAAAAGTCACTTCCTGCTTTGCACTTTGCTCCAAGAAAAACAGTTAAGGACCCAAATGCTCAATTTAAGTACTATTATCATTGAGAGAGACATCCTCCTGGCTTTACCAACTTAAACTCTGAGACCTGGGAAAAGTCAGTTCCTACTTTGGAATTGCTTTTCAGCTGCAAAATTAAGTTGCTAGCTGGATCTGGTCAGGGCCCAAGGAAGAACTCCCAGGAGGGCACGTTTCTGTCTAACCACCTGGGACAGTGAGGGCCATTGGTATACGCCAGAACTGCCCTCTGTCTCTCCCTCATACAGAAACCAAGTAAGGTTTGCTGCCATTGGAAAACATTAGGGTAATCATTAGGGTCATCAATTTCAAGTTTGATTAGAATTGTACCCATTCTCCTGCGGCCCGGGCAGTTTCAGTAATGCTGCACAAAGGCCACACAATGTCCATGTGGTTTCAGCCTAAGCTCTCACCATCCCCAGGAAGGCAGCATTCAGCGCCACAGTGGTGAACCAGCGCAGTGTTCTTCCCACTTGGTCACTCTTCCTTGGGGTCTCAGCCTGGAGGAGGTGCTGCTCAACGGCCGTGGCCCCGGACCCACGGGGCTCCATTTCCGACTCCAGCTTGGTGGCTCCAAAGGGTTTTTGGTGCGGTACAGCGTTTTGGAAGGGTCCCTGGAGCTCTGAGCCCCTGTTCCTTCTGGCCAGCAGATTCCTCCCAGTGCCTCCTCCCCCCACAGACAGTCCTGAGTCAGGACCTTGGGAAGCTACACTTTGGACTGTGCACGTGGTGCCGACACTAGCACTCATCTTGCACAACCCCTAAGAAGATCGCTTGACAGAAATAAGCCTTTCTCAGCAATAAGGGACCCAGCTTCTTGGGGGAAGGGAACGTGCGGGAGAACGGATGCTCTCCTGGATGCTCATTCAATATCTCTTCCGTCTAAGCGCACACAGATGGACGCACTGGTACCCTGAGAGAAAGCTGGAAGCACAGCCTGAGAACAGCCCAGTCAAGCGGCTTTGGGAGCTGGAGAAATGGCTCAGAAATTGAGAATGTTTGCTGATTTTTTTTCGGGGGACTTGAATTTGGTCCTCGGTACCCACATTGAGCAGTTCACAACCTACCTGTAACTCTAGCTCTGAGAGATCCAAGACTCTCTGAGGAGGGAAACTAGAGTCTCCCCTTCGGGTTATCTGGGAGAAAAGAAGCCATAGTCAGGCCCCACCTTAAATGACTTCCCAAACTCCCTCCCAGTCCTGTCCATCAACATCTGAGCTTTTAAATCTGCCATTTGCCACATTCATGCTACCAATACCGGTTGAACCTCATGGGTCAGCTTTCACACATAGCATCTCAACCCTCCCGACACAGAATCCACTCCAACCCTGTACAGCCAAGAGGATTATGGCTTACCGAGTACATAACAACTCACCCAAGAGTGGTCAGCAAAATCTCGCTATGGGTGGATAATGAAACAGTAGCTCATGAGCAAAATCTGGGCTGGGGATGTAGCTCAGTGCTTGAGTGCTTGTTCAGTACGCTCAGGGGCCTAGGTTCTGTACCTAGGATGGAGAAATACTTAACTCATTGGCTGGGGTCTCAACTACACACACTAACCCCAATTCCCACAGATACTTCCAGGTACCTGGAAGGGATGTGAGGAACTGGAAAGGGTCATAAGTATGAATCTTTGCTGGGTAACGTCACCTGGGGTTGGGGAGACCAAAACAGATCTTAAAAAGAGAGAGAGAGAGAGAGAGAGAGAGAGGAAAAGGAAAGGAAAAAGTCCCAGATCTTTAAAAAAATGAAGAAAGAAAGAGAGAAAGAGAGAAAGAGAGAAAGAGAGAAAGAAAGAAAGAAAGACAGACAAGGGGGGGTCTCATTTTGTAGCACAGGCTAGCCTGGAATTTACTCTGTAGCCCAGGCTGGTGTCAAACTCATGGCAATCTTCCTTCATCAACCCCCTGATGCTGATGTTACAACCTCCATACCTAGCTTAAAGCCAAATTTTATTGGATCTTTACTGAAGCCAACCATATCCCTCTTAGCCTTGGCAGTATAAACCTATATAAGCTCAGCACTCGGAGGTAGGACAGAGATCAGAAATACAAGACCATCGTTGTTGGCTACCTAGGGAGTTTGAGGCCAACCTGGGCTATGTGAAACCTTGTCTCAGGGGCTGGCAAGATGGTTCAGTGTGTGAAGGCATTTGTCATGTAAGCCTCATGTCCTGAGTTTGGTCCCCAGAACCTATGGTGGAAGGAGACAAACAACTCTTGAAAGTTGTCCCTTGACCTCCACATGAGTGTGCCACCAAACAGCAAAGAAGATAGATACATGGTCTTCAAAAACCTCAGAGATCTACAGAATATGGCATTTTAAGATGTTTTATAAGCAAAAAGCTTTTCAGAAGTGAGACAGATCTGCTCCTGGGAGAACCCCCGTTTTAACTCAAGGAAGATGATGAACATTGAAGAACCTCCATACGGAGTTTGCTTCAAATATGGCAAACATGCCACTGGGCAAAAAACCTGCCCTTACCTCAGCTACAGACAGAATGCTGTCCAAATGAGATGCAGGGAAAGTTGAGCTCTGCAAGGACCAGGTAGGCAAACCCTCCATGATTCCTGCTTCACAAACTGTCTGTCAGATATTCTGGGCGAGAGCGCTGAAGATAGATGTTCCAACATTATAGAGAAATTTGGGAGTACTGTCCAGGTAACAAACTATCTCTGTCATTTCTATAATTTTGGGAGCTGCTTACTCTGCACTTCTTGTACCCTCAAGTAACATTTATTCCTTCTCAAGTCCCCGATGGGGTTGAAGACTAGATAGTTAAAGTCTCACAACAAAAGCTTAAGTTGTTTAGGATTTAAGAAAATGTCTTTAGGTATAAGATGTTTTTAGATTGGTAATGTGATAGAAGATGATTTAGGTACAGAACTCTGAACTCACCAAGATAGAATAGAAAATAGAGTATTTTCTCCCAAGTTGCCATTTACAAATGGACTGGACATTGTGAATGTAACTCATACATGATAGTTTTTGTACTTGTTCCATAATTATTCTTATTGCATATAGTTTGTTGTTGTAAAAGAAAGAGTCTTTTATTGTACATAACAGGGGAGATGCTAGGGTTGGTCTTATACGTTGTGTATTCAGCTGCTGAGTTCTGCACCTCAAGATCAGGTTGCAGCTGTACATGAGCATTGTATTGACCAATGTGTTGTAAAGAATGCTCCCCAATAATCTCTGGTAGGTAAATAAAAAGCCAGAGCCTGTGACTGGGCAGGGGGGAGAGGAAGGCAGGACTTGAGGTCAAGGGAGGGATCAGGAGAGAAGGAAGAAAGGAGACAAGGAGGAGGCCATCATGAAGCAGGATGAACCATGGGCACATGGCTCGCCCTGAGGACAGACAGCTACAACAGACATAGCCCAAGCAGGACACACTGGCACACAGGACATTTCTCTTGTTTTTAATAGACTAGTTGGGTCAGAATAGCTCAGAACCTAGCATAGTGCCAGCAGCTTGTTAATAAAATCTGATGTCCCTGTGTCATTTAATTGGGAGCTAGACAGGACAGAGTGGAGCAGAAACACCCCATTAAGTTACTGCGATAAACACAGAGGAGACTGAAGGACAATGAAGAGTTAGGAACCACCAGAATCAAGGTTGTTGGTGGAGGGAAGGCCATAGAAGAGGGAGGGACAGGAAGTTGTTCCTTCTCTTCCCCTACTTCCTTGGGATAGTATTTCATGCACTCCAGGCTGAATTTGAATTTTCTATGCTGCTGAGGGTGACCTTAAATTTCTGGTCTTCTTGCTTCCATTTCGAGAATCAAGGCATTAGAGATGTGGACCATTATGCCCTGTTGTTGATGCTGTGCCGGGGAATGGGGTTTTGTACGTGTTAGGCAACACAACCATCTGAGCAATATCTCCAGTCAGAAATTCATACTTCTACAGAAGGGACTGTTCTGGGGTGGGGGTGGTGCACACCCTTAATCCTAGACCTTGGGAGGCAGAGGCAGGTGAATCTCTATGAGTTTGAGGCCAGCCTGGTCTACAAAGCAAGTCCAGGACAGCCAGAGCTGTTACAAAAAGAAACCCTGTCTTGAAACTTCCTCCCCAAAAGTGTGTTTGTATGTGTGTGCATGTACATGTGTGTTCGAGTGTGTGTACAAGTGAGACACACCATCTGTGTGGAGGTCAGTGGACTACCCTCGGTATTAGTTCTCACCTCCCATCTTGGTTGAGGCCTGCTCTTTAGTTGTTTACTACTGTATATGTGTACTGGACACTGCACATTGTATACTGCACACTATATGATGTAGTGTATAGTATATACTGTATAGTGTATACTGTATGTTGTATAGTGTGTACTGTGTGTTGTATAGTGTGTACTGTGTGTTG